GCGCGAGGGCGCCGGGGGCGGCGCGCGGCGGGGGGAGGGGCAGGCTTTGCAGCCGCGGCCGTACTACTTTCGGATGCAGCAGCACATGCTCTCCAGGTGGGTGGGGCGCCTGGGCCGCCGCCCGTCCAGGACGCTGTTTTGGGCATCGCGCCCCACATGCCGATGACTCAGCGCCGCGACACCATCCATGCCGCAGCTGCAGCTCTGCTGTTCCCCCTCTCCATCACACCACATTCATACCCACCAAGCAACTGATAGCCCCCCACTCGCACACAACCCCCCCCTGTGCTACGGACCTGACGGGTGCAACAGCGTCGCCCACGCGGCCCCTGGCGCCGGCGCTGCGCCGCCCTTTGCAGGGCCGCCCCTCGACCCGCGCGCCGCCGCCGTCGCGCGCCGCCGCGCTGCGTACGACGGCGGCGCGTGGGCGGACCCCGCCAGCCTCGCGCCGCCGCCAGCCTCGCGCCCGCAGCAGGTGCCGTCGCCACGGCCGCAGCCGCACGCGCCTGGCAGCCCGCGGCTCATCGAATGGGTCGAGCGGGAGCTGGAGGCCCTTCTGCCTGGCGGCGCAGCGGGCGGCGCGGTCGTCGCGGCCTTTGTCCTCGGCCAAGTGCGGGCGTTTGGTCTGGAGCGCGACTACGCAGCCGAGGAGGCGGGGGCGGCCGGGGGCGGCGGGAGGCCGGGGGACAGGCTTGCGGTCGCGATGGCGAACGAGGGCGCGACGCACGGCGGCGGCGGCGGCGGCCTCGCTGGGGACGCGGGGGCGCCAGCGTCGCGCTGCGTGCGGAGCCCGGTCGCGGCGCTGGCTCCGTTCCTGTTTGAGCATGCGGCCCACTTCTGGCACGAGCTGCGGGTGTTTGCCCTGTCGGGCCTACCGCTGCAGGCGTACGACGCGCGGGTGCGCTACCCGCCTGTGCCGCGCGGCGGCGGCGGCGGCGGCGGCCGCGGCGCTGCGGGCGGGGGCGGGGGCGCGCAGCGGCCGGCGCTGTCCTCTGTCGCCGTTGTGGAGGGGGAGGCGCCGCCGCAGGCGAGGCGGGTGCGTGACGCTCCGGAGCGGGGGCGGCAGCAGGAGCAGGTGCAGGGGCAGCGCGAGCCGGCGCTGGAGCAGCAGGTGGGGGCGTCGCGTGAGGAGGGAACGTGGCGGCGGCGCCGCAGGTGGGACGACGACGAGGGCCGGGGAGGACAGCAGTGCCGACGGCTGACGCCGGGGCACTCACCTTCACAGCAGCAGCAGCAGGAGGAGGAGGGGCAGGAAGTGCAGGGCGAGGAGCTGCATGAACGGCAGCACGGACAGCAGCAGCAGGTTCAGCAGCAGCAGCAGCAGCAGCAGCAGCAACAGCAGCACCAGCAGCAATGGCAGCGCGAAAAGCAGCGGCCCCTCCAGCAACGCCCCGAGCAGCCGCGGGGGCCGCACCTGCCGCCTGAGCCGCGAGCCGTCGGGCGCGCCTCATCTCACCGTCAGAGCGCCGCCTGCAGCAGCCCCCCGCCGTTGGACGACCCCGGCGCTGCGCCAGTGGTGGTGGCAGAGACCTCAAGCCCGACGCGCGCGCCACCGCCCCGCTCGCCCGCCCCGCCCCTCGGCACTAGCGGCACTGGCAGTGACGGCGGAACGGCAGATGGGGAGATGGCCGCGGCCAAGGAGAGGCTGCGGGGCCTGTTGCGAGCCGTGGCTGCAAAGGCGCAGCGCCGGGCGGCCGGCGGCCACGCCGTGGCGGCGGCCGTGGACCTTGCTGGGGGCGTGCCGCCAGCGGCAGGGGGACAGGTGCAGGGACTTGCCTGCCAGGATGTGCGTGGAGACGCAGGTTCGCTAGCGGGGGACATGGCGGGCGGCCAGAGGGTTGCACGCAGCAGGAGCAGAAGCAGGTTGTGCAGGAGCAGAGGCAGGAGCAACAGCAGGAGCAGGAGCAGGAGCAGGAGTAGCAGGAGCAGATGCAGGAGCAGGAGGAGGAGCAGAAGCAAGGTCCGAGGCCAGCAGCCAAGCAGCGAGCGAGTGCAAGAGAGTGAAGAGGGGAGCGAGCCAGGCGGAATGAGACGGCAGCAGCAGGACAGGCCGAGCAACCCCAGCTGGCAATCAAGCCGACGCAGCGGCAACAGCCGCGTGAGCGGCGGCGGCGCCGGCAACGACAGCGGCCGCGTTGAGGGGCAGCGCCGGGCTCTGGGCCGCGCATGGGCGCAGGGCCACCATGCCTTGTCAGAGCAGGGTCCCTCGCCACTGGACAGGTGGCAGATGGATTGAGCTGACAGCGTGCCTTGATTTTATCATTTCATCATATTGGTGATCCCAAATTGAGTGTTTTACATTCTTGCAGTTCACGTTAAGCCCCTGCATGGTGCGCCATGGGGCTGATCTTGTATCAGGAGTAGAGCGTTACGGTATGGCCACAGCAGTTCCTGTCAACGGTTCTGATTCACGACCACATCGCCTTGCTTGCAGCTGACGCTGGTAAAGTTTACAGGAAAAACATGGTGTTGCTGCTATTTGTGATGTGACACAAGGCCGTCTGCTTTGTGGTGACCGGCAAATGCGAGAAGCCGCACTCCTTTCCCGGGAGTCTGTGGGAGCGGACGCGGAGGCAGTCGCGGCGGGGTTCAATGCGTAAGCGGTAGCGCACCCTCACCCCCCCCCCCAAAAGGTCGCATTACTGCTCCTGAACGCTCACAAGCAGAGTCTAACACATATCCACAAGTCATTGCAAGCGCAAGCAAGCAAGCTAAATAACAAGCAAGTACGCAAACAAGTATGCAAGCAAGCTAGCACACAAGGAAAAAGCTCCACAATGTCTCGACAAGCAAGCAAGCAAGGCCTGCAGATTGGCACCCTCCCGCCAATCAGCGTCGTTCATTGTTTCCTGAGCAAAACGTCAGCCGTGCGGGCGGCATTACTAAGCTGGGGATGATGTTTGGGGTTGAAAACTTGACAGTGTCACGTGCTGCGCGCAGCCGCAAAAGCAAACCCTTCAGATTGATCCGGTCCACGTTGATCAAAGCAAACGAGCCAAGACTTTGACCACACTTGCTTCGCGTTGCCTGACCCCACCACCCCATCGCCCCGTCTTATTGGTCTCAACAAGCGGCCAGGACGAGGAACCCTGACTGGTCACTCCAAGGTCCCTTGCTGCGCCAGCAGGCGCCCCACCGGCACGTCGGCCACGCTGCTGGCCCCAGCGTCACCCTGCTGCTGCAGCGTCGTCACCAGAAGGCCCAAAAGGTCGCGAACTGTCATCCCGGCGAGCGCGCCGCCGCCGATGACGGCGCCATGCGCGCCCGCCCCCGAGCCCTCGCCACCAGCGCCGCCCTCAGAGCCCGCGCCGCCGCCCTGCAGAGCCGCGTCCGGCTGCTGCGGCCGTTGGGCAGGTGCGCCCTTGGCACCAGCATCGGCCAGGGCGCCGCCTGCAGAAGCCGCGAGTGCGTTGATGACACCCTGAGCCGCCACGCTGCGCGGTTGGCCCGAGTGTGGTGCTTCCTTGGAAGCGGCCGCCTCGAGCGGCTGGTCGCCGGCCGGAAGCTGCTGGCACATCTGCTTCTGCCGCTGCTGACGCTGCGCCTCCTCCAAGTGACTCGAAACAACCGCCCCTTGGCATGAGTCTTCGCCGCCGCCGCCACCGCTCGCACTGTGCTCCAAAACGGCCGCGTGGATGGCGGCGACGGCGCCCCCGCGCACGTGCGCGGCCGCGACCGACGTCATCGGCTGAGCCGCGCCCGCATGCTGCGCGAGGCGCTCAAAGGCCGTGGAGAAGGCCTCCGCCTCCTCCGGCCCCGCGAGGGCCCCTGTGGCGGCCAGCGACTCTGCCAGCTCCCTGTGGGCACCCGGAAGGTCAAGGGACAGCCCCCGGCGCCGCAGCATCCGCGCAGGCGTCCCCGCGCCGCCGGCGCCGGTGCCGGCCCCGCCGGGCCGGCCGCCGCGGGACGGGGGCCGGTGGTGCGCCTGCGCCAGGACGGGCAGCGGCGCGAGCTGGTCTTCCTTGGCGCCGCCGGCACCCCCGCCGCCGTCGCCGCGGCGCCGCTCCGGAGGGCCCTCGGCGTCATGCTCGTCATGCACCACTCCCCCTCGGCGCTGCTGCCCCTCATCAGGGCCGAGCAGCGGCCCGTCATCTGAAAGCTCAGCGGAGAAGATCGACGCCATCGTAGTGTACAGCTCGTGGTCCGGGTCGTTTTGAAACTGCCCCTCGGCGGTTACGGCGGGGCGGCTGCCAAGCGTGCCGGCGGTCTCGGTCGCGGCGTCATACCTGCCGGCGCCGCCCCGCTGCGGGTGGTGTTGGTGGGCCTGCTGGAACGGGTGAAGGTGCGGGTGTGGCGGGTGTTGTTGCTGGTGCTGCTGCGGCGGCCTGTGGTGGGGCTGCAGCTGCTGCTGGGAGTGGTGCAGCGGCTGTGGGTAGGGATGGTAGGCCGGGGGCTGGGGCGGGGGCGGTGGCTGCGGTTGGTCGGCGCCGCGGCCCTCCTGCTCGGCCATGTTGCGCAGCGTCGCGCCGACCTGAGGGGGTGGTTTAGGGTTGTTGATAGTGATGTTTTTGGTGGGGATATTGTGTATCATCCGGGCGCTGATGCACTGGTGTGAGTATGGCGGAGGTGTTTCAAGGCGCACTTTTCCCGTAAATCAGTCGTTTGCGGGGCGCAAGCCGGCCATCATCACCGCTCAAGCGGCTCTGCTGAAACTGATGGTCAGCAGTTGGATCGCGTTCGTGCTGTCAAAGATGGATCAAATCGCACAAGAAGGACATGCACACACGGCCGTCACAGTCTCCACACACGCCCCAGTTTTTTGCAGGCGCGTCCTCACATGTCCCAGGTGTGGCAGGCCGTCCAGCGCCTCCAGCTGGTCCCACAGCTGCAGCCGGTCCGCCACGTCAGCAAGCAGCCTGGGGGCACAGCGGCACGTGCATATGGTGGGTCGGCAGGCAGTTGAGCGGGCGCCGATAGTCACTCGGGCTCGGCAGCACGCAGGGCGGGTTCTGCAACATGAGAGCAAGGGCGCCCTTCGCCAACTCAGCACGGCGCACTGTCAGTCTCACGGGCCGCGCCCGGGCAGCAACGACAACAAAGACGCTGTGCTCCTGTGTGCATTTCTCAGCGGCCTCCCGGCACAGTGGAAAGGCCTCCCTCGACACCACCGCAAACACAGCAGGCGGCCACTGGCACCCACAGCTGCAGCAGCCCCAGCTTATCGTCGTCCCCCATGCGGCTCGGCCCCGCCAGCAGCTCCAGCGTCGACGCCAGCCGCGCGGAGCAGGCGGCCAGGGCCGCGCCGCGCGCCTGCAGCGCGTCCGCCTCGGACTCGACGCGGCGCTCCTCCTCCAGCAGCTTGCGCCTGGGTTGCGGGGGTGAGGGGACCGCTTGGGGCGTGAGATGCCGATTGGGGGGTGAAGCGCCGATTGGTGTGTTTATTGGGGGGAGGGGGCGTTCAAAGGGGCTCGGTGTCGGGTTGGCGGCCGTTTTGAGGGGCGGTGCACCGGTTTGTTGGCTCCTTTTGAGGGGTGGTGCATTACCTTGGTGGCTGATTTGGTTTGGCAGGATGGGGCAGGATTATGTGATGGTCACTCACAAGTGCCCAGATATGCAAGGGCACGTAGCCGTTGTCAACCAGGTGAAGTTCATACTGGGACTGCAGGCAGCACATATTGTGTCAGATGCAGTGATCACCGGCCCACCCCTTGCATTCGGCCCCCGATGCGACCCCCTCTAGACGCACCTCATGCGCGCCGCGCCGCCGTGCGCGCCGCCCGCCCCCGAGTCGACCGGCAGGCTGAGAACGATCCCGGCCAGCAGCTGCTGCCGCGCCGCCAGCGACACCAGCTGCCCCTCCAGCCGCTCCTCCTCCCAAAGCACGTGCTGCTGCACCGACTGGGCGCGTGCCAGCCACGTTGTCAGCCGAGAGTGCGCGCGGATCGTCTGCGCCGCGCCGGGGCGGCTGGTGGCGGGGGAGCGCCCCACGGCGGCCGAGGTGGACGCGGCGGCGCCGCCTGTGGCGGAGCCGGGCTGCGCGCTGCGGGGCGTGGCGGTGCTGCTGCTGCTGCCCATGCGCAGGAGGGGCTCTGGGGGGGCGAGCATAGGCAGGACCCTCGGCTGCGGCGGGG